CATCTTTTTCTATTTTTGCTTAATAAATTGATGATTTATTATTAAAGAATGAATAGCATTCAAAATTGGTATCTTATTTATTTATGATATATATGAATCACGTGATCAGCAATTGTGTAATGTACTATTTCTATGTTTATTCTAATCTGTTTCGTGCGTGTGTGTTTTTGCTGTAATTACACCATTTTGCCCTAATTCGTAATCAGGACTGAAAAATAATAATGATAATAGTAAATATCCTTCAATCCACACTTTCCCTTAATTCTCCTATAGGTATTCTTGAAATCTCATATTAGATTTAGAATGTTGTAATGGGGGAAATATTTCCCGTAGTATTATTATTATTAATAATAATAATCATAACAATAATAGTAATTCATTGCCCACTTCAGCTTATCAGTTATTCATCATTCTGTTGCATGTGTTGTGTTGGGTGTAGATTACTCGATGAACCAAGATTCAGTAACCAATCGCTCTCTCCACCTACCTAGATTACTTCTTAGAATCTTAACCCTCTCCTACCCTATTGTGTGGTTGTGTGTTAATGCATGCATTGCAATGTGATTGCTGAGCTTTTATCTAAATTACTAATTTCCCAGGGTCAAACATTCTTACCTTAGCTAAATTCTTATGTTCCGACAATCTGACTAACCGCACCCTACCTACTAGTTTGACCTATGTAGAGCTGACCTATCTCACAGTCATTGCAGGGTATTTTGTAAATTATATTATTTTGTCTAAGTGGGTCCACTGGGTCCTTTAACCTACAGAGTTTGTCCCTGAGTGAGTTTGTGAGTTTAAATGCCACCCTTAAATCCTGCTTTATTACGAATCTTATATAGGGTCTCAGATGTCCCCTCCTTATATGATATAACAGTAGATGACTTATATTCTCTCTTATTTATGTTATCATTTTAAGTTTCATTATTATTTTTATTTTGCTTTTGGCCTTTTTCGATCTTCCTAATGAATTTTATAGGATAGTCAGTTATTTAACACCAATGCCTCTTCCATCTCTTTTATTTATTTATTTATTTAATTATGATTTACCACAGCTGTCTTCAATCATAGGTGTCTGCGTTCTTTCTCCCGCGTGTTTGAAGTGGTATAATAAGGTGAGCAATATTGAGGTTAGGCATCAGTCAAGTGCTAGGTAAGGTGGGGAAATCAGTCGACGAGGCTGTGAAATTACATCGACTGAGATGGTTAGGACATGTGTTACGTATGCCTAGTCATCGCCTTCCTCGACCGAAGGGCAATGTTAGCTGTAAAAAGGTCAGCTTGGGAAAGAGCTAGCGGCGGTCAAACCAAAACATGACTTTATCAGTCAATGAAATCCACAACAGTTAGTCTAAGCCACGTAGGAAGGTGTAGACTTCCAGATTGGGGTCCTCAGGACGGTAAAATCTAATGGTTGGAAACAATTGGTGACATGGCTCAAAATGGTTCTCAATGGCTGGTGCAGATGCATCCACTCCTTGTGACTCATGATTTCCAATTAAACTGCTGCTTTGTTCTTCGTTATTACTATTCCTTTGTCTCACACCTCTGTTTACTGTCTCTAATATGCATTTCTCCTATTTTCTTCTCTTGCTTTGTGTGCTACATGGAGGGAGTGTGGCGACTTGAACTGCCGCACATCAGTGCAAAGTTCTATGTCGAAAACCGACCGACCGACCGACAGTGCCCAAGTCTTATACTTTCACCACCACATAACAGTCGAATGATAACAGTTGATAACGATTTTCGGGGTGGCCCTTCATTCCTTCCTTGGTATTGAATTAATTACCGGAAAATGATACTTCATGGTTAACGTTCTGTCACTCATCATCTTTTTCTATTTTTGCTTAATAAATTGATGATTTATTATTAAAGAATGAATAGCATTCAAAATTGGTATCTTATTTATTTATGATATATATGAATCATGTGATCAAAAATGTGTAATGTACTATTTCTATGTTTATTCTAATCTGTTTCCGTGTGTGTGTGAGGGTATTTTTGCGCGGGTGTCTGTGTGTTTGTGCTGTCATTACACCATTTAGCCCTAATTCGTAATCAGGACTGAATAATAATAATAGTAATAATACAAATAATAATAAATATTCTTCTATCCACACTTTCCCTTACTTCTCCTATACGTATTCTTGAAATCTCATATTAGATTTAGAATGTTGTAATGGGGAAACATTTCCCATAGTATTATAATTATTATTATTAATAATAATAGTAATAGTAATTCATTGCCCACTTCAGCTTATCAGTTATTATTTATTCTGTTGTGCTGTGTTGTGTTGGGTGTAGATTACTCGATGAACCACGATTCAGTAAACAATCTCTATCTCTCCACCTCCATAGATTACCTCTTAGAATCTTAACCCTATCCCTCCCACCACATTGTGTGGCTGTGTGTTAATGCATGCAGTGCAATTGCTGAGCTTTCTTCCAAATTACTTATATTCTCAGGGTCAACCATTCTTACCTTAGCTAAATTCTTATGTTCCGACAATCTGACTACCCTCACCCGACCTACTAGTTTGACCTATGTAGAGCTGACCTAACTCACAGTCATTACAAGGTGTTTTGTAAATTATATTATTTTGTTTAATTGAGTCAACTGCTTCCTTTAAACTACACAGCTTGTCTCTGAGTGAGTTTGTAGGTTTGAATGCCACCCTACGTAGGACCTCAGATGTCCCCTCCTTACATGGTTAAACAGTGGATGACTTATATTCTCTCTTATTTATGTTATCACTACTGATTTCACAATTATTTTTGGTTTGTTTTTGGCCTTTACTGATCTTCCTAATGAATTTTATAGTGTAGTCAGTTATTTAACACCAATGCCTCTTCTATCTGTTTTATTTATTTAGTTATGATTTACCACAATGCCCAAGTTTTATACTTATACCACCACATAACAGTTGAATGAAGTTGATAACGATTTTGGCGGGCCCTTCATTCCTTGGTATTGAATTAATTTTTTTTACGAGTTAATCACGGATTGATATCAGTTACAGAACCATTGAAAACCAGAGAGTACTGGACAGCTGCTGTTTCATCCTAGTTTGGAAACCATCGGCAGCACGCACCTGCTGGGATTCGAAGGTACTGGTTCGAATCCCAGTGGGTGCGTACTGCCGATAACAAACCCTTACAAACCAAACTACAGAAAAATGAATTAATTTCCGAAAATTTACTTCCTAGTTAACGCCATAATGGATAAGATTTTATTTTGATAAATTATAGTAATTATAATAATAATAGCAATTATAGTAATAATAATAATAATAAATATCCTTCAATCCACACTTTCCCTTACTTCTCCTATACGTATTCTTGAGATCTAATATTAGATTTAGAATGTTGTAATGGGGAAACATTTCCCGTAGTATTATTATTATTAATAATAATAACAATAATAGTAATTCATTGCCCACTTTAGCTTATCAGTTACTCTTCATACTGTTGTGTTGTGATGTTTTGTGCTGTGCTGTGTTATTCTATGTACACCAAACTCCTGATCGTTTTGTTTTCAAATGTGTAAAAATCACATGATCGATCGCTGGTTATTATTATTATTTCGTTGATTCTACCAACTGTTTTGAAATGATTATCACTGCATTACTACTGTTATTATCATTATTTATAGTAGTATGTTTGTATGTATGTATGTGTGAATGTATGTTGTTTCTGGTTTGTTATGTTTTTTCTCGTAGCGAAAACTGATAATCAGGTTGAAGTGTGAGATAAAAGTACAAATCGCCCCGACACACACACACAGAGGCATATGGATAAACACACGCACAGTTCTGCATTTTGTGTTTGTTAACGGTATTTTATGTGTTTGACCACGGATTGATATCAGTTAGAGAACCATTGTAAACCAACAAGGGGGTACTGGACAGCTGTTTCGTCAGTAAGGGTTCGAACCCAAGACCTTCCGGTTACAAGGCAAGCTGGCTCGTATACCATTCTGCCCCTGGGAGTGACCCGATTCACTGACTAGCCCATGAATTCTATTATTATTATTGTTTCCTTTAATTCCTAGGGGAACATAGGGCTGCAGCCGTGTATCTCCATTGCGTTCGGTTCTCTCCCAACATTTTCACCTGGCCCTAAGTCTGTCCACACGTTTTCATCTCCTCTTCACATGACCTCCTCCAAGGCACTCACCCTCGCACTGACGACCAACTCGCCGCTTCCCTTTCGGGTTCCACTCGAGCAATGGCTTGTCTAGTGATGTCACTTGATGGTTTCCTCAGAGTATGGCCAATACACTCACCTTCGTTTCTTTATGCCTATTTGTTGCACAATCGGTTCCTAGTCGGTTCGCTCCTAGAGATCCCTATTGCTGATCCTTTCTGGCCATCTGATCTTGAGTATTCAGCAAAGACAACTGAATTCTAACTCCTACCAATTCGTGATTTTTAGCCCGACTGGCACCAACTAATGTCATTGGCGGGGACTCCAACCTCATATTTGACTGGATGGACCTCACGACTTCTCACTAGAACTCCATGTTACTCCACCCTGTAACAAGTCATTAGCGAGCAACAGATTAATTTTCAAGAGTTGGTTTGTAAGGATTAGATTTGTTTTTTTTGTCGAGTTTGACCACGGATTGATCAGGAACTGTGCTGGCAAATGAGTCGGGTCCCAGTGGCCCCGATAGTTTACGAACTCGCCTTGTAACCGGATGGTCCTAGTTTTGAATCCCAATTTTTTGGTTTTCATGTGTTAGACGTTGAGTTTGTTTGACACTAGATATAAATTATCCGTAAAACCCAGATCTTCTATCGAAGGCCTTTCCAAAGTTGATGAAGTTGATATGAAGATCAAACTGCCATTCTATCCTCTGTTCGATGATGATGATAATAACGTGTAGGGTGGCAATTTGTTTATTATTTAGGCAAAAATTATCTTGTTAAACCTTTTCACATATTTTATATTTTACACTAAATTTTCTCTTTATTTTTTTGAACATCGTTTTTTCTCAGACAAAAGGTGTAGATCCAAGTAGTCCACAATGTACAGGAAATCAACTGAAATCTGTTGAACAGGAGAAACACGACAGCCGCTTAAACAATCAAACATTTCAAAGGAAAATGAACCAGTCAGATGGAGATTGTCAGCTACAAACAGACAATTCACATAAACTGACTATCGACAATGACTATGAAGTGGATACACTGACATTAGCTCGTGATGGTGGCATCCTTGACTGGGATGATCGAGTTGCTGATGTCCTAGATGATCGTGAACTTGTAAGTGATGATATTTTTTGACCTGTTTTATTGCTGTTTTCAATAATGCCCTAACAGTGAATGTCTTCACAGTGCGTCAGTATCATGCCCATAGTCTACAAAGATGCTTTCTTACTGAACTTTTTGGTGGTACTTTGGCTTCAACCGTTTTCAATCACCTTGACAAATACTCCATTTATTCGTTTTATTCGTTATCCGTTTTTATTCGCTATAATAGTAATAACAATGATAACGATAATGATAATAGTGATGATAATAATAATGAAGACACCAACAATAAAGAATCTAAATCATCAGTAGTAATTCCATACAAGGAAGGAACCTCGGAAACCACCTTACGCAAAATTCTTAACAAGGCAGGACGGAATAAATGTAACTGGCATTCAACCCTCCCACAAACTCAATTAGAAACAAGCTTTGTCGGTTAAAGGATCAATCCTATGGAGCCTTTAAAACAAAACAATTTAGTTTATCTAATACCCTGCCGGAATGATTGTCAGGTCAAATACATAGGTCAAACTAGTAGAACAGGGGCAGTTAGACTAGCTGAACATCAAAACTTGGCAGAATCTAGATTGATTGACCCGAATAAGATAAGAAATCTAGAGAATAGTTCAGCTATAGCACTCACTACATGCAATTACACACAACGATACAATAGGCTGGATGGGATAGGATGACAGTTTTAAAATCTAATGTCACAGGGTGGAGGGAGAGATTGATAACAGAAGCTTTTTTTATCGAATCAGCTGCAAATACATGTAATAGGAATGATTCATCACCTGTCCCCGATATCTGGAAAATTCTACTACCCTTACGACAAATAGGAGAAAACAAAGAAAGCTATAAAACTCAAGTGTCCAATTCGTGTGATCACAATTGAAATGCTTATGAACAGTAATAAATTGTGTTCGAAACTTTGTCATCCAGTAAATAATACTGTTTCACCGACTGTGTGATATATCTAATAAACGAATTTATATGGAATTACTTACTACCACAGTGCCCAAGTTTTGCACATATATTAACGAACAATGAGTTTTACGGCATAATGAGTCCCTTGAATAACTTCATCAAGTCTTTGTTTGACTGCTTCTTGTACATCATATCCTTCAAATTTCTGCATAGTTTTCTGTCGCTTATCTTCCGTGTATGTAAATTATTCATATGAATATTTCTACCGAAGGCTGGTAATTTCGTTTTATTGCAGGATTTCATGATGAGCTGACATTGGTTAGAGAACCACTGAAACCAGCTCTGGAGTACTGAACAGCAGTTTCTTCCTAGTTTCGGTATCACAGGCAGTATGCACCCACCGCCAAGGTTCAAACTCAAGACCTTCCAGTTACAAGGCAAGCTGTCTCGTATACCATTCATCCACTGGGACTGACCCGATTTAATGGCTAACCCATGAATTCTAACTTCTAACAATTCGTGATTTAGCGCAACCCCAACCATTGTCGTAAGTGGAACATCCATCCTCACACGTGACATCTGGATGGACTTCACAGGTCACGACTTCTCACTAGAACTCCATCCTGTAGCAAGTCACTAGGGAGCATCAGATTAATTTTCTATAGTTTGGTTTGTTTTCTAAGAGATGATCACTCATCGTCGGCAGTACGTAACCACCGCCAGGGTTCGAACCCAGCACCTCCTGGTTACAAGGCAAGCTGGCTCATATTCTATTCAGCCACTGAGACTGACCCGATTCAATGGCTCAGTTCTCTAACTGATATCAGTCCATGATCAACTCGTAAAAACATAAACTAACCTCTACAAACCAAACTATAGAATATTGTAATTGTTCAATCCGGTTCCGAATGGAACAGAGGTCTTCAACAACACAACACTATCTTATCCTGATCTCCGAGATCCTTTTTAGCTGGCTCCATGATCACCTACAGTCTCTCGTTTCCTCTCAGTCACACGATCTCCCGCGTGTCTCATTCTGGTTACACTCAAGTAATGGCCTGCATTGAGCGCAATGTCATTCGATGACTCCCTCAGCGTATGCTCAACCCATATCTGTTTTCTTCGAAATGTTTCCTTCTTGAGCAATAGGTTCTTGATTGTTTTGTTCCCATAGTTTCTTGGTTCTATTTTTTTTCAGTGGGTCATGTGATCTTCACTACACAGCCAGCGAAGGAGGCAGCTGTAGATAAAAGTTTGTAGGAACCTGGTGGAAATGCTTTTCATTACGTGAATTTCTGACTCTAGCCCTGACAACTTCATTCTTGCTATCATCTGTAATTAAAACGATGGTTACTAGACAGGTGGAGGAAGTAACCTCTTTCAAATTTCTTTCTGTTTTTGGGGTGATTGGTGCTTGTTGTTGTTGCTGTTGAGGGCTGATTATCTTTCTCACCTCTGTCTTCTCTATGTTTACTTGAAGTTCTGTCTTCACTGCCTCCTGCTTCTGCCAACTTCTTAGTTTCCGTCTGTAAGCCTTCGAATTTATGTGACATTGGACATAGATCATCCGCGAAGTCCAGATCTTCTAGATACTTTTTTTGGGCCGGCGAATTCGTGTATTCTGACTGCCCTCACACCGTCACGCGCATAATCCAGTCCACCACAAATAAGAATACCGTAGTCGATGGTAGATAGCAGACTTGTCTTAACCCCTGTATCCACTGCGGATCACTCGACATGTGGCATTGTCATACATAGCTGTTGAATGAAGTTGGGACACCCACCCAGTCCATAATATTGAGGTAGTCTCCAAATGCTCTCGTTGTGAACTCTGTCGAAGTCCTTTTCAAAGTCTGTGAAAGTGACGTAGTGGTTTGACTGCCATTCCTTTGCTTAGTTATTTTATTTCTAATTTGTATTTCCAAGAAACTGGTTATTTGTAAAAATTATTTTTGTAATATCTACGCGATATTGAAATGAGTAATTCCAACGTTTTGTTCGGCAATCTGGTCCGAACTTCTTCAGGGAAATTCATCGAAATTAACATAACAGAGGTTTATATAAAAAAGAACATCACTTGTTTTTAAAAACTTTGTCCAATCATGAGTCATTCAACAAGTATAATTAACAAAATTTTATGAGCTGTGATCAAAATTTGACCTCGGACTTACAAATATTGGTCTACCTTTGTTAAACACTTTAAACAGAGTGTGTATGTGTGTATGTGAGTAAACAGTTGTAAAACATTTCTTAACGTCTCCATAGGAAGATATAGACAGTCAGGAATTTGACCAAGTATTATTAATTAGTGATACATATCCATTTTTATTTATTAATCAGGATTTCCTATGCATCAGCTAACATCACGCCCTCGTGTCTGTTCAAACTGTTAGTATCTAGAATTTTATGATTAGACGTATTTTCAAAATTATGGTGTTTAGGATTAGAGTTTATTAGAAGCACCCTGTCGGACTTATTGCTTTGTCTTCTTTCTCTCTGTTATGTTAATTTCGATTAATTTCCCTGAAGAAGTTCGAACCAGATTGCCGAACGAAACGTTAGAATTACTCATTTCTATCTCGCTGAGATTTTACAAATATAATAATTTTTTACAAATGTCTACTTCTCACTCGGTGCCCAAATATTCTAGAACTATTCTGTCAAATCTTGACGACAGGTCATTTGAAACTGATTATTTCTGTGTGTTTTTGTAAATAAAAGTCACGCATAAGGTTCTATTTATAAAGAAATTCTTTTGATCCCAACGCAACGAGTATTTCTTTTGTTTTTCTAAATACCTAAACAAATATTTTAAAGTCACTAATAATTACACAATGAAATAAATACTACTTAAATGTTCAACATTTCTATGACTAGCAGACACAGCTAATTTTCACAACATTACTTCCCTTGAACAGATGACGTGTGGAAAGATATCACTACATTTACCAATACCACTATCCTTGTCTTGTAATGAAGTCATTGTCGAAGTGTGCATAGAAGACTAAAAGCAGATACAAGTATACCCTTGTTTTCAGAAAAATTTCACCATTTTTTTGTCTTCTGAAACAAAACACAACAACTTGTTTTTACGTAAAAATACCATGCGAAAATGTTGATGTTTTTGCGTTCGTTATTATTTCTTTTGTGTTTTTTTCCTTCATTTTTTCTTTCGAAAGCAATCATCTTTTTTATCCCGTGAATGTGTGCATTTGTGTGTGTGTATGCATGCATCAGCTGTCTTTAGGGATTTAAATTTCAGTAGTATACACACTTTTTTCTATCTATTGAACACTGAATTTTGTTTTATTGCTTTGAAATTCTAGGTCATTATTTGATTGGTGGTTGTCCTTTTTATGTATAAATTATCAATTGTGATTGATTGATTGATTTAGCTTACAACGCATTTGACCTTGAAGCTGAAATTATCAACCAATCAAATTTATCTTTTTATTAGTGTATATTCACTTTCTAGCCTTGCTTGATTATACTCAAATATTTTAAAATGAATTTTGGTTTATAATATTATCAAAATTAAATTGGATGCAAAATTAAATTTATATAAAAGACTGAGGCTAATGAACAAAGGCAACAACAACACAGAATGTATGAATTAACAGGTTAGATATCAGGCCAGGTTACCAATAGTGCCTGGCTGGACCTGATTCTTTTACACAGAGTTCCAGTAGATTTAGCCGAATTGAAATAACCTTTGACATTTGGAATGTTTGCTAACTATGGGCCACTGGTAATTCATTCGATACTCAGCAGATGATAGAGAAAGACTGTTGGATGAGGTAATGTTGGTTTAAGCTACACCTTTATTTAACCACAAGTTTAGGTGTTCCAAAACACGGAGAATCAATTTCTTGGAGGAGTGGTCATTATAGGTGACTCCACAGGAACAGTTTAATCGAAAGATCTATTTAGAGGTGGCTAGCTAGCCTATGTACTTCATCTTTCACTTGAGGAATCGCAATCGGTTGTGTAGAAAATATAAGCTGCAGCCTACTGGCATTAAAAGTTGTTTGAATTGATTTTCTTAACTTATTGGTGATTATTTTGGCCCAGACGGAATTCATCTC